ATTCGAACCCACCACCTTAGGTGTATGTGGCTGGCGCCTTAGCCGCTTGAGCCACAGGTGCTGAGCCATAATTCCAGCTTTGAAGACAAAGCCTGCAACAAGGCCAGGGGCCTGATAGCTCACAGCCTGATCCAGACAAACTGCCAAGCCCAGGCTCCTAGGTGGCCCCAGTAGGGCCCCTTCCCCCTGCTATGATTTACAAAGACAGACCATTCTGCCCCTGACCAATTACCATACTCTATGACCAGTGCTAAGGCAGCAAGGTGAGGGACCAGCCAGCTACTGGACCACAGCAGTTACTCAGCAACAGTAGGAGGAAGTAAAAGCCAAGGGCTCCCCACCCTATGCTCTATCTTGTCTGTTTTCTTCACAGCACCATGGCTGCAGGAACCAAGGCAGGGTGCAAATACTTATTTGCTGAGGGTGAGCCAGAGTAGAACCAGGCTCCCCTTGCGCCCATGTGGAAGTGTGTTGCTGACATGGAGGGTTCAGACCAGGGCCCCTATGCTCACACTAAAGGGCCCCTTTTCTGCCCCAGCCTGAATGGCCCCATCACCTGGGAGCTCCTCCATGCTATGCACGGGGCCAAAGTAATTCTTGAGAGCACTGTAGCTGTTGATGGCCACGCTCAGGTAGAACTCAGGCATAAAAGCGAAGAGAGAGCCTGTGCGATCACTGTGTTCAATGGTCCGCAGGCAGATGCGCAGCAGCCAATAGATGTCCAGCATCTTCTCCTGCAGGAGGCACACAGGGTGCTGCTGGGCCGTTCACCATAAGGGTCACAGGGGCCATGGCCCAGTCTGGGTATCAGCAAAAGCCTCCTCAGGACTGTGACATCAGAACTGAGACCTGGATTGCAGCCAGTGTGAATAACAGCTCAAACAGGGACCCCTAAGTCCTTGGCAGGCTAGAGGGTGCACCCGGCCTGGAGAAGGCAGCACTGTGACCCAGACCAGAACTCTGCTTTGCATGTTTTAAGAGGCACAGCAAGATTTTAAGCAAGGGTGTGAGATGGCTAGAACCCTGTGTTGGAACACTGCCTAAGGCAGAAGGGGCTGTAGGGCAAGTACAGGTAGGAAGGACAGTGAGGAAGCCAGTCTCATTTGGGCTCAAGAAGGCAGACAAAAGACTGGATGACCAGAACTAAAGACATACTCTTGGGCTGTGGGGAGAAGGGAAAGGTTGCAGTGAGAATGGGGCCCAAGTTTCTGGGGTGGTAGAGCCTCTGTGGAGGTCACTAGAGGAGAAG